CCCTGGACAGGAGATTTCTCATTTTAGCAATATTCCTCAGATGAAAGAAGGAAATTCTAGAAACCTCTTTGATCTGGGATTTAAATGACAGGTCCTGATCAAAAATAACACCAAGATTTTTTACTTTATTATCTGAAATCAGTTTAATCCCATCCAAATGAAGTGACTGACTAATCAGCTTCTAAATGAACGCGTTTCTCCATGTTGTCACTAGGGGCCGCTGGAGAGGAGCTCTGGATGTTCAATCAGTGGAGCTCCAGGGGGGTTTTGTTCAGAGTGAAAGGAGAGGAAAGAACCAGACCGACTGAGACGCTTCAGCAGCAGCAGCAGCAGCAGAATGTCTCTGTACCGAAACTCCGCCTGGTTCCTCAAAGGACTCACTGAGTTCACCAAGTAAGTCCTCTTTATGTCTTTTAGGTGATGCTGATGATGATGATGATGCTGATGATGATGATGATGATGATGATGATGATGATGATGATGATGCTGATGATGATGATGATGATGATGATGATGATGATGATGATGATGATGATGATGATGATGATGATGATGTGTGAGGTCTTCCTGCTGTCTCATCGAGTTGGATGTTTAGAGAAAACCTGATAATGCAAAATTCCCATTTTTAGCTTTAATAGAAAAACTTCCTGTGATCAGAGGAGTCAAAAGTTCCCACATTAGTTACTTCAGTAGAAGTTTAGATCCTGCAGTTTAAAAACACTCTGGTAAAAGTTGAAGGATCAACTTGACCTCTTTACTCAAGTAAAAGTGAAAAAGTATGTGCTCCAAAAACTACTAAAGTTTAAAAGTATAAAGTAACCTTTAATAAAAACAGCCAGATGGCACTATATGAATTGAAAGCTAATTTTTAACGACTATTTCTATAAATTCTCTGAGATAGGGCCAAGGATGAGGGAGGTCTGGTTGGTCTCCGTCTCCCGATACGCTCTCGCCTGTGTCCGACCTTTCAGACATTTCAACATCTTTTTCTGAATCCCACATTGTAGCATGGCATAGACAATTCACGTTAGCAGTTTGAAGAACACCTGCTTGCTTCTGATGATTTCCTTTAGCTAATCAATGAGTGTTTGCGTTCTATGACTCATCCAATCACACTAGTTTTCACTAGATGTGGGCGGAGCCAATGATCTGCATTGGATGGAGCACATGACGGGAAATAGATATTTAGAAACATTAAACCGAAGCCAAGAGGAACGAGGAACATTTGGTTTAAAGATGTACGGAATAGAAAGAACAGATACTGGTGTGAAAATGAGTAGAAGTCAGAAGTGAATAAGTAATGGAGTAAAGTATAGATACATAAAAAGTGTACTTAAGTACAGTAATGAAGTATTTGTACTTTGTTAACTCACACCTCTGCCTGTGATAAAAATGGATGTCTTTAAAAATGAAAAACTACAAAATGTGTAAGAATAAGTAGATGATTACTAATAATGAGGATGTTAGTTCATTTAGAGCAGCTATTCCATCATCAGGCCCAGAATGTTCATAAATGATCATCCATCATGGCTGCTGTTTACTGATTTCCTAATCCTTGATTTGGATCCTTGGAGGTCGGTCTGATCTGGAGCTCCAGTAAAAAGAATTTTGAAGCTTTTTAACAGCATCATTCAGACAATTAGATTCTTCTTATAACATCCATTTATTTTATCTGATCTATGGGGAACCTTCTAAACATTGATGTCAGAATAAAAAAATGGCGACATGGCAGAGGGCTCCTGGCTGTATAGATGATGGAGAAGACGTCTGGGCGTCCTTCTCCCCTCAGCAGGTCTTGGCAGGCTCGGCCCAATGAAGACATGCTTTTGTCATTGTTTCCCTTCTCCTCTTTGTTCTGTGTTATCTTTGCTTGCAGCGAGCTGCCGGCTACCCGCTCTGACCCCGCGCTAATAGCTCTCTGCATGACACCATGGAACAGTGGGGGCATTTCATCTTAGCGCCTTTAGCCCCCACATGTTCCCCCTTCATCAGGGACAATAGGACTAATTGAGGTCTTCGGTGCCACACATGCTTTTGAACAGAATCCCTGAAACAGCAGGGGAGTCTCACCCAGACACACTCTACTCATTGTGTCATTACAGTAAGAGTCTGCAGGGACATACAGTGACCCCCCCCCCCCACACACACACACTCACGTCTTGCTATATCTAGTGAGGACCTTTTGATGCCCTAACCCTAAACATAACTGTTAGCAAACAGCTTGTGAAGGCCGGCCTCAGAGGTTAAAACCTGAAACTGGTCATATTCTCAAACAGGAGCACAAACCAGTAGGTCAGCAAGCCCCACAGAAATGCATCCATTCTATGTGATGCAGATCTAATAAAGTGGTTGGTGATCTGTTGCAGGAATGGGCACCTCTCAGCATCCAAGCACTTTGTGGAGAAGGACCTGGAGGTGTCTGTGGCTGGACGCTCCTTCATGATCACTGGAGCTAACAGCGGCATCGGGAAAGCCACCGCCATGGCCGTCGCCAAAAGAGGTACTTTGCTAAAGTTGCAGCAAATCAACTTAGACATGAACCCTGCCGAACCAAATGTTCTGATCTGGTTTAAAGAAGATGCTGCAGATGAAAGGGTTTCTACTAATGTTTTATCTTTTATCGATATATTATGAACCTAATGTAAAAAACAACCTTTGTGGGAAAACGAATCGATCTCATAGAAACTTTAGTTTGATTGCCCAGTAAAAGACATGCAAGAATACCCATGCTAGTGGTATTTAAATGTTGATGCTAACCGAAATGATAAAGATTATCTGAGGAAAGTTGGAGAGAAGCTAAAAGAACGGGAGGAACGTGCTTTGATGTCATCGTATCTGATACCAGCCGTTGTTCTGGAGTTTCTGTCCGCTGATGAGGTTTGCTCAGACTGTTTTATCATTTGCTTGGCTGATCCGATTGATCCAACCAAGCTTAACAAAGCTGGTATCAACACCAAAGGTCCAGGCTGCTGTCCAATCAGGGCAGAGCGCTGCAGCGTTCAAAGCAAAGCGCCGCCGCCATGAAGCAGAACTTCTTTAAGTAGCAAATAAACCAAAGACATGCAAGCAGAGTTAGCATGAGAACAAAAACCAGCTGATGTGAGTTTAGTGATTGCTGCAGCGCCTCCTGCTGGAATAACGGCCTAGGACCCTGCTGGAAGCTAAAACACGTGCCCATAGTTCAGGCTCTGTTATTGTTACTGTGTCAGCGCTGGTTCTGGACCAGCAGCCACTGGTTCGCTGTTCCAGAAACTGGTTCCAGCTCCTGATGTGGACTCACATAAAAAAAGCTGATGGCTGAAAAGAGGAGCTGCTCATAACGCAGCAGAAAAAACAACTCAAAGATAAACATCAGGAGAGTAAAAACATCCTTCAACAAATTAAAATATATTTATATATATTTATATTTATATTTTATATTTATTTCAGTATTTTCCTTCTTATCAAACAGGTTATTCAGACTGATGCTTTCAGCCGTTAAAGCTGATCAATCAGAACCAGTTTAATGAATCTAGATTAACCCAGTCAGTCATAAACTGAATTATCTCAAAGTTAGTCTGGAGTTACTTAATCATATCCAAGTATTTCTTTTCATTATCAGATGTTTTCCAATTTTCATTAAATGTGTTCCATGTCTCAGGAGGGACAGTCCACATGGTGTGCAGGAACAAGGACAAAGCTGAGGAGGCCCGAGCCGATATCGTCAAGGAGACGGGAAACAAGGTACAGCGTTCCTCCCAGAGCAATGCAACAGAACATGCTTAGAAGCAACCTTTCCAAACAGCAAACTCTCTTACAGGAGGTCTATGTCCACATCCTGGACCTGTCTGAGACCAGGAAGGTGTGGGAGTTTGCAGAGGGCTTCAAGAAGAAGTTCAAGGCCCTCAATGTTCTGGTAAAACACGTCCAGGTCTCCTTCCTGTCCTCAGCAGAGCAGCGTCTCATTTCTGTGCTTCTCCTCAGATCAACAATGCAGGTTCCATCATGAGTCAGAGGGACGTGAACGCCGAGGGACTGGAGAAGAGCTTCGCCGTCAACGTGCTTGGTGAGTCACAGACAGGGACGAAGCGCAGAGACAATGCTGACCAGGGGGATGGGTGGTCATGGTGGTCCTGTGACTTACAGGGGTCTACATTTTGACCAAGAGTCTGATTCCCTTACTGGAGAAGAGCACAGACCCCCGAGTGGTGAGTCGGAGCCCAGTCTGATTCCCTCAGGCTGCTTCATTACTAACGCTGAGACCTTTTTGGGAAAAAGCAACCATATTAAGCAACGGTAAGGATTGGAGTTGATCTCCTGCTTCTGTGTGCAGATCACAGTGTCTTCAGGAGGAATGTTGGTCCAGAAGCTGAGGATAGGAAACCTGCAGTCTGAGAGAGGCCGCTACGATGGAACCATGGTCTATGCTCAGCACAAGGTGAGAGGAGCGTTTATTCCTCGAGAGAAGACGGTCGGCGGTGTGATCACAGCTGGTCACCAAACAGATCCTCCATCAAACCAACATCACCAAGTCATGGAGATCAGAACGGCGGTTTTTCTACCTCAGTGGCCAAAGCTGGAAACTGTTGGAAAAGTAGCAATAAGCTGCTGCTTTATTTTGATGGAGAGTAGGCTGACAGGAAGGGGGGGGGAGAGACATGGCGGAAAGGACCACAGACCCGATTCGAACCCGGGTCGCCCGCGGCGATGACTAAGACCTCCATAGGTGGGTGGTGTGGGCTAACTGCGCCACCTGCACATTGGTTCATTAATGATCTGATCCGGTTTTTCTCTGATTCCAGAGACCCACACAGCTCAGATTCCATCCAGGTTCAATAATGACCACAACAAGACCACCACATGTTTAACCTTAGATCTGTTATAGAGATAGACAGAATAGATCTGCCTCTGTGGAGGCAACCTGTTTCCACTGATATCTTTCTGGAATGTTCTTCATCATTGGAACCAATACCAGTTTAATATCGTCATCAGCTTCAGTGATCGGACTGAAATCCAACGGTTGAACTTTACTGGGTCCGATTTACTGCAATGGACGATGACTCTAAGGTGGACATACCTCCTCTGACAGACTGCTTCTGTAGATCTGTAGACTGCTATCTATAGATATGTAGACTTCTATCTGTAGACTGCTATCTGTAGATGTGTAGACTGCTATCTATAGATATGTAGACTACTATCTGTAGACTTCTATCTGTAGATGTGTAGACTGCTATCTATAGATATGTAGACTACTATCTGTAGACCGCTATCTGTAGATATGTAGACTGCTATCTATAGATATGTAGACTGCCATCTGTAGATATGTAGACTGCCATCTGTAGATATGTAGACTGCCATCTGTAGATATGTAGACTGCTTTCTGTAGACTGCTTCTGTAGATAAAGAGGGTGGGAAAAAGTCCAGAAATGTTTTATGACAGTCTAATTCTCTTATGGGTGGAGTTCCCATAACGACCTGTCAGACGCGAAGGACTGCGAAAGCTGTGGTCTCTGCCTGATTGAGAAGCTGAGGATGATCAGGTCTGTGTGAAGCTTTCTTTGGGATAAGTATAATTCCTGGTGCAAACCTGTTTTCCAGAGGCAGCAGGTGGTGATGACGGAGCAGCTGGCAAAGACTCACACTAACATCCACTTCTCTGTCATGCATCCTGGCTGGGTGGATACTCCAGGTTAGCCCCCCCCCCCATATAATACTCTGTCATTCCTTCCTTCTGCATCTAATGTGTTTGTGTGGGCCTCTGTCCGTCTGCTGCAGCGGTGGCCAACGCCATGCCGGACTTCCATCGCTCCATGAAGGACAGTCTACGGAGCCCAGAGCAGGGGGCCGACACAGTGGTGTGGCTGGCCGTCTCTGAAGCTGCTACCATGAACCCCAGCGGGCGCTTCTACCAGGGTATGCTGGCCCAGCAGATGTTCCATGGATACAGGCAGTTAAAAAGACAAATAAAACCTGTTTGTAGACGAAGAGTAAGTGACTTGTGGTCTGGATGGTGCAGATGGTGTTTGTGTAGAGAGCTGGCAGGAGTCCACTGCAGCTGGAGGCGGCTGGTTCTGGTGCCAGAGAGTACAGTGGCTCTATGAGTGTCGACAAACACACCTTGCTTTGTAAACTCAGAGACAACGACTCCATTGGTCTCTGCCAGCTTCTGGTTCAACAGGAAACTCTACCTAAAGACTGGAAAATACATCTAAATAGGTCTTTTTTTCTTAAAATAAGAAAACAGATAGCAGTCTACAGATCTAAAATAAGGGGGGGGGGTATCACAATGAGTTAGTTTGTCACCATTTAAACACGGTTTAACTAAGAGCTTTACTGGATGAAGAGATGAGAAACGAAAAGGATCTGATGAAGAAAAGGCAAATAGAAAGAAGACTAAGCCGAATGACTGAAAGCTAAGCAGCCTCTGGATGGTCTACCTCAGCTGCAGTTTTCAGGCTGGATGGTCTACCTCAGCTGCAGTTTTCAGG